CAACCTCCAACTCCTGGGCTCAAGCAAGTCTCCTGCCTCAGCCTCCCAAGTAGCTGGGACTACAGGCGCCCACCACAACGCCTGGCCATTTTTTGGTTCCAGCCATCATTGTTGTTTGGCGGGCCCGGGCTGGGGATTCAAACCCGCCACCTTGGGTGTATGTGGCTGGCGCCTTAGCCGCTTGAGCCACAGGCCCCAAGCCAGTAGCTTTTTCTTGACAAGAGGCAACCTGAGAAGGGAAATGGCAAGAGGAGGTGGGTGGCTGCCTACGGCTGGGGCCCTTGCTTTTAACCACCGTGCCAGCTACCTGGGTGACAGTCACTTACCAGTTAAGAGCAAAGACTCTGTAGATAGGCAGCCTGGATTCTAAAGTCCCAGTTCCACGACATCCCCACTGTGAAAATGATTTCCTCATCTCTTTCTTTTTTTTTGAGGCAGTCTCATAATGTCACCCTTGGTAGAGTGCCATGGTGTCACAGCTCACACCAACCTCAAACTCTTGGGCTTAAGCAAATCTCTTGCCTCAGTCTCTCATGTAGACTACAGGCGCCCACCACAACGCCTGGCTATTTTTTGTTGTCGTTGCAGTTGTCATTGTTGTTTAGCAGGCCCGGGCTGGGTTCGAACCTGCCAGCCCGGGTCTATGTGGCCGGTGCCCTAACCACTGAGATACCAGCACTGAGCCTCATTTTCTCATCTTTTTTTTTTTTTTTTTTAACTATGTTGCCCAGGCTGCAATGCAGTGGCTATTCACAGGCTCGATCCCATTACTGATCAGCTGGTTTTGAAATTCTGAGCTCAAGCAATCCATCTGCCTTGGCCTTCCAGAGTGCTAGGATTATAGGAGACAAGGATTTTGAAACAGTCATTATAAAGATGCTCAATGGCATAAAGAAAAATAAGTGGGCTCGGCGTCTGTAGCTCAAGTGGCTAAGGCGCCAGCCACATACACCTAAGGTGCAGGGTTCGAATCCAGCCTAGGCCTGCCAAACAATGACAGCTGCAAACAAAAAATAGCCAGGCATTGTGGCTGGTGCCTGAGGTCCCAGCTACTTGGGAGGCTGAAGCAGGAGACTTGGTTGAGCTCAGGAGTTGGAGGTTGCTGTGACCTGTGATGCCATGGCACTCTAGCCAGGGGGACAGCTTGAGGCTCTGTCTCAAAAAAAAAAAAA